TCAAAGGCCCAGTGTTCTGGGGACACAAGAGACGAGCTACCGTAGCAAGAAGTGGAGGTCATCTGCTTCCGCTAATACTCCCCCGCCTGCTACTACCACTCCTCATGTGACACTTGTTGCTGACACCCCTCCTGTGACATCTGGTCCAACACCCGTTACTACCACCCCTCATGTGACACCTGCTCCCGAACCTGCTACTCCTCTGCCTCCTGTGACACCTACTGCTCCCCCACGTGTTGCTTTCCTACCTGTTGCTTCCACACCTACTCCCCCACCTGGTACGACTGCTATTGTTGCTGGCACACCTACTGCACCACTAGTTTCAGCCCCACTTGCTTCGACACCTCTTGAGTCTGACCCCTCAACTCCTGCTCCCAATGGTACATTTACTGTCAGAGAAGGACTCGTAAGTTTATTTTAACATTATATTATGTTTATTCTTCATTCTATATATTTTTTTGTAACCAATTTTTTTTCTTAAGCAGATGCATTCCCCACAAGTTGGCATCACAGAGATTATGAGGAGCAGGTACGATCAGTCCTATTACTCGTGGAAGCGGATCCCTGCAGCCACTCGGGACTTGTGGTTCAGAGAGTTAGAGGTACGATCATGCAATTTGAATTAGATTTGTAAATTTAATTTATTTTCTTATACTAATACATTGATTATTATTTATAGTGCAGAGTTCCTTTGCCTGGCTCCCAGAGCACCACCATCAGATTCGCCTAATCTTCGAGATTTAGGGCAAGCATCAACATGTTCACGACAACCCGCCTGAGGGGCGAGCGGTCTGCCTAGATCGGTGAGGAGACCTGGGGTCAGTTAACCAAAGCCTAGACTTCTCTTGCTATAAGAGGAAGAGGCAGACGAACCAGGCGAACCGGGCAACGAAGAGGACTAGGGGAGTTGTTCTCCACATTGGCAGATCAGTCCCTCAAACTGAACACTATAGAAGGCTGGTAGGATTCTTAAATATTTAAAGATTCAATCTTTGAAGAAATTTTATGGCACTAAACAATTGTATACATTGCATAGGTGAAGGAGTTGAACTGCAAGCCCTCCATTGCAAAACTACACGTTCGAACTCATCGGCGCCCGAGGACGTAGCAATGGGTCTCAGAGCAATTTCGTCGGGTTGCTATAAGTATAAAAAATAAATTTAAAACTTTATTTTGACTCTTATTATTAAAAATGTGAATTAAACATTGGTTTTAATTTTGCAGAAGGAGTTTAAGCAGTCTCCGGAGAGGCACTTGGCCACTCAGGCCCAGACGTTCGCTAGCAGCAGTGGTAGTCAATCTACCACTCTGCAGTCCAAGTACGAGCTTTGGACTTAGGCGATGAGGAAGAAGAATGAGAGGGTTTATGGCATTGGTACGAAAGACATAGCCTTCGAGGTCGATGTCTCCCGTGGCCCAGTACTTAGTTCCCCGAGCTCCTCACAGCCAGATTAAGAGGCGCTTGTCAAGCAGGTCGCTTCAATGAACAAAGAGCTTCGCCAATTGCATGACCAAATGCTAAAGGGCCAACATCGGGTCGAGGACTCTATAGTGTGCATGACAGAGACTTTAGCAGATCGTCGGGGTAAGAGACAGGTGATAATCATAGAGGAGAAAGAGGAGGACAAGGATGGAGATGATGAGTAGTTTCTTTTTATGTTTTCTTTTATTTTTCAACATTAAGTTGAACATTTATAGTGGAATTTTTGGTTAATTTTATTATTTTTATTTGGACAATTTGTTACAATATCTTAATTTCATTAATGATATATATTTGAGTTTTGATTTGTGCTGATATAGTTGGATAAAATGCGGTTGAGATGTAACTTTTTTATTACATGCAGGTTGTGGAAATGTAATTGTTCTTTTTTTTTTTCGGTGTTGCTGGTTTGCATCTGATTTGCATCAGTTTTGCTTTGAATAATCTAATGCTAAATTGATAAAAATATTCTACCGTTCTTTGATATTTTCCACTGCAAAAGTGACGGTAATCTGACAAATTAGATTATCGGTTGACATGTGTAGCCTAAAAAAACTGATGGTAATACGACGCAAGTACTTTACGTCTAAATATTTTGATGCAAAATGAATGAAACTATCATTATCAACCCTCGATTTACCCGCGAAAAATATCAGACATAAATCAGACACAAATTTGATGATAAACCTCAAATATCGTTAGATTTGCATTCGATTTACGTCTGATATGACCAATGTAAATTTACTTATTTCCTGTAGTGAACCCCAATCTAAAAATCTAAAATATTATACCAAAATTCTTGAATCAAAACTTATAATATATCTTAAAGCTTTTATTTCGCATATAATTTAATGGAGACAATTATCATATTTCTTCTCCTTGGACAAGCCTTAACGATATCTTGGAAACAACTTGTTTCCCCGAGAATATATGTATGACACAAATATTTATGAAGCTATTCTAATCTCATTAAATTGTGTTGAAATCAAAAACAATTTTAATGAATTAAATAAATCAATTGCTTATAGCAAAGTAACTATTCAACGCTTTCCATCATATAAAATGGGGTCTTTGTCCTTATCAAGTTAAAATAATTCAATATAAAAACTTGAATCTAACTATCAAAGGACAATTTAATTTATCTATTCAACATATATAGAGGACAAGAATAAGGTTTTTTATATTCTTTATCCAAGAATAAAACATTAGTGGATGTTTGTAATTATGATGAAGATCTTGTCTGAGGATATAGCACACTGGCTTTATCAATGATAAGATAATTGTGGAGCAAATATTAAAATTCTTCTTGCTCCAATTAAATCAAAAGACTCTAAATAGATAGAAACTTCTATAACAACCTAACCTGATAGCTTAAAATTAAAAAAGTCAGAAATTGCGATTTGATGGTATTATCCTTTCTTTTTTATTTTATTTAATACAATAAACTATTATAACTTCTAATAATAAAAAAAGTCATTAAAAAATTACAAAATACACTAAATAATAATTAAATTCAACCAAAGCAACAACATAGTCGGAAAGTAAAGCAATATCATAATTCAACCGACAATAGTCCAACAATACCAAAACTAAGTAATATAAGAATCTAGAACCATAACACACAACATACTATCTAGTAGAAGGGGTTCTCTTCCCAACTCTCTCCTATCAGTCATATCCATCTATAATTTTGCCTGCAAGAAATAAATAATTTCAACAGTAAGTTTGCTATCACTTAGTGAGCAATTATAATCTTATTATGTATTAAATTAACACTTCATGTTTTCATTTAAGTATTTACCTCTTTAACTTTTTGAAAAAGTCATATCATGATCACCATCATACCCAAAGGTATCATAAAAAAGTTTTACCCATAGATATCTTCAAAATTTTGCACTTAAAAGTACATCTTTACCATTTTCATTTCGTTTTTCATGCACGGGTACAACAACGCCCCCTACTAATATAATAAAGAGATAAATCCTAATTGACAAATCATTTTTATTTTCTTTCCTTTTCACTTTATCCATTTGAAGTTTTACCCATAGATATCTTCAAATTCTTTATATGAAGAATTTGAAGAATTTTAAATTGATACACTAAAACTTTCAATATGCATATAATAAGAAAGGCATGTATTTTTAAGACAATAATGCAAGTCTTTTTTAAATAAATCATTAATTTAATACAAATAAGAAAGCAATTAAACAGCTTAACTCTTCAAAAACCTCTGTATAGGCTTATTCCTCTACTTTCTTTCTCCAACAATCACTCACATCCATTAAAAGTGTATATATAATAATTTTATTTCTAAAATCACTCTCACGTATGATTCATTGATTCAAATATGTCTCCCCAATTATCTTTTAATCAAATACTCTTCCATGATATTCATATACTCTACATAATGACATTTAATGAAAACATAAACATAAATAATACATAAATCTTTACCTTTTACTCCTTTGAAGTCAATTCTTCTAAATATTCAATAAAAAATCCTTCCTATTTTACTTCTAACCTAAATAATAAAAATGGTAATTAGTAGATTTAATTTATTATTAACAATTCTATATTGAAATTAATCAAAAACATGCCTTCACCGCCTCTTATTCTTACTTCCTTTCATGCGCAGAGATTCACCCTATACTATAAGGAGGAGCAAATGAAAAGATGTCTGATAATTGAGAAGATTTATGTCAAACTTTCGTCCAAAAAACTCATGATTTCTAAAAATGACTACAACAACAATCATCACTTCAGAAGCAGAACGAATCAGGACCCCACCAATAGAAATCTCCGTGCTAATCAAATATACTTTCTAGCTCAAAATCACGAAGGAATCTACCTTGCTAATTAAGCCTCCACTAAGAAAACAGTCTGTCACTTTTTACTAGTCATTGTAATTTATGTTATATTTTGAGGTCTGGTTGTTTCGAAGTTTATATATTGATGTAATTTCTATAACTAGTGTGCAAGTTTGAAGTTTCTGCCTAAGGAGCAAGCAATTGTGAGTCCTACTGTGAGTCCAACCTCCTTTAAGTTTTATGTTATTAATTCTAATTCTGTTCTATTTAGTATTTCTATTTCTTAATAAGTATAGTTTTTACTTCTATTTTCTGTTAATTTAATTTCTGGTAAAATCGAGAAATTGGTGTGTGTGTGTGTGTGTGTGTGCGTGTGTGTATAATATGCGTGTGTGTATAATATAGTAGATCTTTCCCGGAAACTATTATGTATAATAAAGGCTACTAGATTTCTTGTAACATTAGTGAGCGATTCCTAAATTTAAGTTTTGGCAATAAAGAGAATGGTGATAGACAAACAGAACAACATTTCCAATCATGTACACGCATAAAAGAAAGGCATAATAAGCACATATCATGATATTTATTTTGGTTCAGATCTTCATTACTCGAATTATCGAACCAATGCACAACTCAAATTCTTCATAACAAGAATTTTGGGTTAGAATATCTGGTATGTTCATGGCTATACTTTAAGAAAATGATATAAGTACCTTAATGATAAAGACCGACCATCTTTTCCCTCCAAGAAAGCTTGTAGGGGAGCCAAAGCTGCGTGGCATCTTTAATTTAAGCACGTAGATGAGTTGCAAAGAAACCTATTTCACTCTCTAAAAGACAGAGAGAGATAAAAAAAGTTGACCAGTATCTCAACTTGTGACATGGTACAAAGCAGAAATATAATGTTAAAAATGCATTCGCTTGTTGGTTTAAAGTGTAGTTTTCTTTCAAATTGTATCTATCTCTCAATAAATTGATCAGATAGAAATTTCCAAGACACAGAAAGCTTTGAAAGTTTTCAGTGAGGCATGCTATTGAAAATATGGACTCTGACACGAGAATCATTATGATTCTTAACAAGAACAAACGACTAAAAATTCCATTTTCAGGGAGACAAAACGATCATACTTCATAGTAACAGTCAGCACTTCACTACGATCATTCATGCCCAAAACAAACGACTAAATTACATTTTCATATCATCAACCATATCAAGGAGCGCATTCAATGCAATTTATGTTTTATAAGAAAAATGAGAATCTCAACCATTATTATAAGTTACCATTGGATGATGGATCATAGGATTACAAATTATAAGGGACTGAAAACTCCAAATTTTCCACTTGCGTTCTTTACTGGAGATTACTTAAGGAGCATTTCATCAAACAGGTACCAGGCACTACCAAGTCGTGTCATTTAAAAATTAAAAGGGATACAAGCAAAAGAAGAAAGATAACCCGGCTGATTCAGAAAAGCGAGAAATTTGCATTTTTGAAAGCCAGCGTCACACCTACACGTAGGTTGTGTTCGCCAAAGAAGACGATGAATCAGCAGAAGGCCATAAATGCAGGTGAATTTCTATTCTAGCTACAGCGAAATTGAAAGGTAGTTGAAGAAGAGATGAAGAGAGCTGTGATTGTTCGTTCGAGGAGAAGATGGCCGGGAGAGAAATCAGCCCTTTAGGCTTTAAATTACTTGGACGAAGTACTGAAAATCCGAATTTACTAAATTTTATATGGGCAAAATCTTGAATTTTACTTAAATTTTAATTTATAATACCTAAAACAAGGTAAAGATTTGTGTTTTTTGTTGTGCATTTATTTTGTATATTTATGTACTTATTTTAATTACTCATTTAGTGGCACTTTCACTTAAACTCTCATTTGTTTTTATAAGCTCAACATGTAACTAATTTACATGCTCCATAAAGCTCATTTCAATAGAAAATAAATAGTTCAATTATATTAATTATTAATTAGTTAATAAGTTTCATTTGATTAAAAAATGGATGGCATGATTGCAGTATTTTTAATTTGTTCAGTAAGGATCCATTAGATAAAAATTAAGTTGTTCGATAATGATATACATTAATTTGCTCGATAATAACTCGATTATCATCATATCCAATGAGCATCCACTAAACTCAAACAGTTAGAACAAGTGAACTAAGCATGAAAATAGAGCTAATCTGACCTAACTACGTGATCCAAACTGATAAAAATGATATGTGTACTATATATATATATTCTCTACTTTTTTCTCAACTTCAAACACCTCATGGCTGATTCCTCTCCTTCTTCTCAAATCAATCCCCTACCCTGACATGCCAATAACATCACCATACCTTCTTCTCTAAAATTTTTCATGAGCAACATTAAATCTGTTGCAAACACCACTCTGACTGCAGATTACTATCCCATATGGAGCTCACAACTATCCAAATTATTCAAAGCTGATAGCTTCGACTGTTTCCTTGTTGGTTCTTCCATTTGCCCTTCCAAATACATTTTCGATTCAAATGGCCAACCAGCACCCAACCCAAACTACCAAGCCTTCAAAACATCCAATCGCACCTGCTCCCATCCTATCAGCCTAGAAGATCTTTACGTCCTTTGAATCAGTGAAGAAATCACCCAGCAGCCACAGAACAAACCTAATCATAACTGGCCTTGCTTTCCACGCGTGGAAGAGAAGCTCGCTCTTCATGTAGAGGCAGGGGAAGATGGAACAATATCAATCTCAGGTGGAGTGGAAACAGAAATCAAAGCGGCAGGGGACAATCCAATACCAAATCCCTGACTACTTGCCAATTTTGCAAAAAAGTGGGACAGACTGCTTTGAACTGTTGGCATTGATCAAATCTGGACTGCTTACCTACAAACAAAGCTCGTCCAAATGCAGCTCTTCTAATGGATTCCACTTCACAAACTGGCCTCTGACAATAATTGCTCAATCTCATTTGACCCCAATGGTTTTCAAATAAAGCACAAAGACAACAACTGAATCCTCCTAGAGGGACGCAGAAATAATGGTCTCTGCCCAATATCCTCAACGCTAGCCTTACATTCCACCCTTCAACCCACCGATGTCTGGCACCAAAGACTTGGCATCCTCACAAGGCAGTTATAGCAGCCATCTCCAATAGTAATCTGAATCTGTATATTACTCCACAAATACCATATGGCACAAATATAAGGCTTCAAAGAGTCACAAACTTCATTTCTCAAAGTCTATTATTAGATCTACTACATGTTTTAATACTGATGTATGGGGGCCTTCTCATATTGTATCCCTTCAAAGTAATAAATAATGTGTTATCTATGGACGACCATTCTAGTTTTTCTTGGATATTTCCTATGATAAAAAAATCTGAAGTTATGAATATTTTCACTTGGTTCAACAAATTTGTGGAGAAAAAAATCAATAGAAAGATAAATGTATTGCGCTCGAAGGCGGAGAATACACTTCCAACACATTTAATATCTACCTTTAAACACAAGGAATTATGCACCAAATAAGCTATCCCTATTCTCCAGAACAAAACGACATAGCCGAAAGAAAGCATCACCATCTAATTGAGATAGCTTACACCCTTCTTGCTCCCCAACTACCTCATCAATTCTGGCTTGAAGCTGTCCAAACAACCCTTTACCTCATCAACGGGCTGTCGATCAAAACAAACTATATGAAATCCCCATACCCTCTTCTCTATCACAAAAAATCCAAACTACAATCTTCGACTCCTCGTCCTTCCCTTGGCAACGACCACTCATACACAACAAACGATCGCCTCGAGCGCGTCACTGCATTTCTCTTGGTTATTCTGACTATCACAAAGGTTATTGCTGCTAGAAACACTCCAACAAAATCATCATATCTCGACATGTTACATTGAATAAAACATCTTTTCCCTACCAATAACACCCACTCTATGTATTCCTCCTACTTTGATAATTAAAACTTCACCCAATTCCACAGCTACATTACCACTACTATCCCAACTCTCTCCCACATCCTCATGAATTATTGTGTGGTAGTTATGAAATTATTTGTAACCATTGAAATTGTACTGGCACAATCCTAGTCATTAATTTAGGAGGTGTCACTACTATAAATAAGGGTAGAGACTTTGAGTTTGCATCAAGTCAAGTAAATGTGATAAATAAAGTGAAGCTTCTTCCATAAACTTTTAGCCTTTGTCATATCTTGAAAGCTTCTTCATTCCAATAAAGTGGTATCAGAGCCTAAAGGTTCCTTTATAGAGCAATGACAAATGGTGGCATAGTTTCCTTCCAAGTTCCGATGCTTAAGGAAAGCATCTACGAAAATTGGAGTATCAAGTATACAATCCAAATACAGGGAAGATAAACATCAGCAGAGATATTATATTTGATGAAGGAGGAGAATGGGATTGGGGACTACATGATGAGGACTACAACTTTTTCCCATACTTTCAAGAAGAGGACGCAGAGCAGCCAATGATCGAGCAAGCAAGAGAATAGCCTACTACTCCACAAACAACATTGACTATAAGAACATTGACTAACATTGACTATAAGTAATCAAAGCGACTCATCATCATCAAATTCAAGAGAAAATTCAAGTAAAAGAGTACCACACTTCAAAAGATTAGAAGATCTTTATGAGGTAACTATGAATCAAGATAATCTTACTCTTTTTTATCTCTTTGTCACTGTGAACCCATGAATTTCCAAAAAGCCATACAAAGCAAGAAGTGGAAAGATGGAATGGATGAAGAAATCAAGACAATCGAGAAGAACGACACATGGGAGCTAGGGAGCTAGCTTCAAGGGCATAAGACAATTGATGTGAAGTGGGTGTACAAAGAGAAGAAGAATTCGAAAGGAGAAGTTGAAAGATACAAGACAAGATTCGTGGCAAAAGGCTATAGTCAAAGAGCAGACATCGACTATGATGAGGTATTTGCCCCTGTTGCTCGATTAGAAACTATTAGACTAATCATCTCTTTGGCAGCTCAAAATAAGTGGAGAATACATCAAATGGATGTAAAATCTGCCTTCTTGAATGAAATACTCGAAGAAAAAGTCTACATTCAGCAGCTACCAAGATATGAAGTCAAAGGGCAAGAAGACAAAGTTCTAAAGCTAAAAAAGGCTCTATACAGGCTGAAGCAAGCACCAAGAGCATGGAATAGCCGAATAGATAAGTATCTGCAAGAGAAAGGCTTCATGAAGTGTCCTTATGAGCATGCTCTTTACATCAATAATGAGGATGAAAATGTCTTGATTGTTTGTTTGTATGTTGATGACTTGATTTTCACCAGAAATAATCCAATCATGTTTGAAAAGTTTAAAGAAGCGATGGCAAAGGAGTTCGAAATGACAGATATTGGACTCATGACATACTACCTTGGCATTGAATTCAAGCAAATGAAAGATGAGATTTTCATATCTCAAGAAGGTTATGCAAAAGAGATATTGAAAAAGTTCAAGATGGATAATAGCCGACCTATAAAAACTCCTGTAGAATGTGGAGTCAAGCTATCAAAAGATGATGAAGGAAAAAAGAATTGATCGAACGATTTTTAAAAGTTTGGTTGGAAGTTTGCGCTACTTAACATGCACAAGGCCTGATATTCTTTATGCTGTTAGATTTGTCAGTCGCTACATGGAGACTCCGACTACTACCCACCTGAAGACCGCCAAAAGAATTATGTGCTAAATCAAAGGTACAATTGATTTTGGCTTATTTTACTCATCATCCAATAATTTCAAGCTTGTAGGATATAGTGACAGTGATTGGGCTGGAGATATGGATGATAGAAAGAGCACTACAGGTTTGTGTTCTTCATAGGAGACACTGCTTTCACTTGGATGTCAAAGAAACAACCAATTGTCACTCTTTCTACTTGCGAAGCAGAGTACGTGGTTGCAACCTCATGTGTTTGTCATGCAATTTGGCTTCGAAACCTATTAAAGGAGTTAAGTTTACCACAAGAAGAGGCGATCAAAATTTGTATCGACGACAAGTCTGCAATCGCGCTAACAAAGAATCTAGTTTTCTATGATAGAAACAAGCACATTGATATGCGTTATCACTACATCAAAGAATGCATCGAAAGAAAGGAGATACAAGTGCAGTATGTGAAGTCTCAAGATCAAGTTGCAGATATTTTTACCAAGCCACTCAAGAGTGAAGACTTTATTAAACTGAGAAGTTTACTTTGAGTCACAAAATCAAGTTTAAGAGGGGATGTTGAAATATAAACTTGATTTTAGTTGTTTAAATAAAGCCTAATTATGTCTCATCTAAAAGCTTAATCTAGAATATGTGGTAGGTATGAAATTATTGTGTGGTAGGTGTGGAATTATTATGTGGTAGGTATTGAATTATTTATAACCATTAGATTAGAATTGTAGTTGCACAATCCTAGTCATTAATTCAGGAGGTGCCATTACTATAAATAGGGGTGTAGTTTTTGAGTTTGCATTAAGTCAAGTAAAGGTGATAAATAAAGTGAAGTTTTTTCCATAATCTCTTAGCCTTTACCATATCTTGAAAGCTTCTCCATTCCAACACAGAGCTAGTAGCTGGCATCTTAAGCCCGATTCAGCTTTCTTCGCACCAAGCTTACCAATCGCTTGCATACCAGATGAAGTAGCCACAACCCTCATACAACCACTCCAACATACCTATTCCATCCACCTGCACCAACCTCTCTGAATCAATGAATATCAGCTCTCACCTCTCTGAATCAATGAATATCAGCTCTCACCTCTCTGAATCAATGAATATCAGCTCTCACCTCTCTGAATCAATGAATATCAGCTCTTACTTTATCCCATTTTTTTTCTCTTCTTCTTCTTTTAAAATAAGGATAATTTATTATGTAATATTTGATTTGGTTGAAACATAACTAAATATTTTGACTGTTATCATTGACGGGTGAGCATCCCACAAATTCACGATCGAAGATTTGATAATCGCATAGATAAGAATCACATGATTCATCATCATGGTGCGGGAACTCTAGCAACCCCGCGATTCCGGGAGATCACGAGAAGCCTCGTGATCTCGAGTTTAAAATAAGAGGCGCTGACTTTCAATTTAACATTTTTCTTTCCTTTTTAATTTCTTTCATAGTTTCCTACTTCCAATGAGATTATTTTGCATAATGTAACTATTTATATATTGTCATTTTGTATTTTTTCATACTTTTTTTTTGTTAATGTCTTTTAGAGATTGTATCTCTGATTTCTGCTCTAAGGAGTGTTGGATCATTTTCTATTTGCAGGTAGAGTGTCTATCTTGCTCAGGAAAGATGGTAGAACCTCCTCATCACCTCAACATCATTGTTTCAGAGTTCTCTCTATTGTTGACAGTCGGGACAATCTTTGAATAACAACTACCCCATTCCAAACGTCATCAACCTCTTATATGTTCCTTGCTATTCCACAACCACCTTCCCACTCAATTGAGTAGCCCTAAATAGTAAAACTATTATCTAACACAAAATTGTTCCGTCTTACATAATGTTCAAGCTAGCTGCTATTAAGTTTATAATGAATGCTTCCTTGTACTAAGAGAATAAAAAGTGTGTATAAGATAATAGAAAAAAATGAGTGAGGGCATCATCTGATCTAAGATGAAAAGGGAGATGCAATGCAAATATATTCTCCCATATTACCTACATGACATGTTCATAAAACTCTATAACATGTGCAAAAGAGACTCTTTTGTGGAGGATTATACAACTGACTTTGTTCAACTCAGACTAAAATGTGAATTGGTGGAGCTAGAGGAGCAAATAATGGCTAGGTATCTTGAAGGACTAAAACAAACCATCAAAAATGTAATACATCCTTGGGTATTTTAAGTTGCAGATTCATTCGAGCAATATAATAAAGTTTTTTGGTATGTGGATGCCCAAGCCTGGTATGTCAGAGGGGGTTGTGATGCATTGTTTATATAAGCAGTAATTGGTTAGAGGTCGTTAGGAGCAGTAATTGTTTCGGATCATGTACAAGAGTTTTATGAGTGAGTTGTTCCTGAATTTTGAACTCGTTAAAGTCAAATGTAATAAAGCAATTGCTATCTTTAGTTATTGATAAACAGAGATTAAATCATGTGAAATATGAGGAGCAAAAAAAAGTTTGGAGAGAACAAGCTTATGGTCAGATGTGGGTAATAAGCCCTCACCAACGTAGGAGATTTCAGTAGTCTAATCATTGCCTATCGCAACCCTTTCTTGTCCTGTCTAGATACTTGAGTTGTGAGGATTCTCACTATAGAGTGTGAGATGAGCGGTTGCTCTGTAGTCAAGGTCCCATTCTTGATCCTTGGAAGAGGTAGTGGAGGTTAAGGCAGACATTTGAAGAGGCATAGAGGGTATGTACTATAAGTTTGCATGGTTCCAGCAGTGATCAACAGTGTGGCCCTTTTTGTGACAAATTTGACAAATATTGGTTGCTTAAATTTTTCTGTTGTTACCATGAAACTTATTCTTTTGATTGATTTCTTGAAGGATAACTTTTGGCTTTATAATGAAAAGGAGCCCGGGGAGAGGGATTCTTGATATTTTTTGTTGAATAAATTGCTTTATTCAATGTGTGGGAGAGAATAGATTTCCTTCAGTGAGATTGGTTGCAATTGAGTGTGGATTGCACTTTTAAATCCTTGGTAAGTTGATGGTAAAATGTTATGTTATCTGCCATAGTTTTAATAATGGTGAGATACTGCGTCATGGTGTTGTTGCCCATGTAACTCATTCTTGAGTTGAATCACACGGGACCTATTTGTAGCTTGAAAATCCTTTCAAGAGTGATCCAAATCTCAACAGCGGTGTTGAGATTGTGAATATAAAATAATAAAGATGTTGAAATGGTGGAAAGCATAGCAGCGAATAGATTTTGATCTACTAATTTCCATAATTGGAAATCTTGATCAGTAGATTGATTTGTTGCCGATTCTTGATGAGATTGAGATGTAACAAGAATATTGGGGTCTAAAAATGAATTAAATCCCTTGGCAAGAAATAATTTCCTCATTTTTACCTCCCATATGACATAGTTTTCATAGGGAAGAGGTTGGGTGACAACAGTCTTGATGTTTGTCATTAAGAACTTTAATGTCGTGGGAATATTGATTTCCTTCTCATTGTTGAGGTTGTTGGTTAATTGGCTGTTGCGATGCTTGAGGAGATGTTGAGGAAGAATGGTCAATGGATCTGGATGCTGCCAAACTCACTCTCTGATACCATGAGTAGAATAAAGAGGAGGAGAATGTTATTATTCGAATGATAATTTTTCCATTACATTTGCTGATCACAAAAGCGGGTTTATATAGACCCATGAGTGGCATAATTGAAAATACAAGGACGGACAAAAAGGTAAAAAGACACACGGGACCTATTTATACCTTATTTATTACATACCTTATTTATTACAAAAGGTAAAAAGACAGGGATTCGAGGTGTTTGGAGCGAGCCCTAGGAAGCTCTGGCGAACATACGAACGGAACCAGAGGCGAGCCACAGGTAAGTCTAGATAAGTCTCCTTCATGCATTTTGATATTATGGTTTTTAAAAGATCAATTTTAACATCTTAATTATAATCAAATGGCTAAAAATGAAACATTTAAATTAAAAATAAGAAAATTTTATTCCTCAAAAATCTGATTTCAAATATTATTTCAAATATTAATGATTGTAGTTTCATAAATTTAAAAAAAAATGTACATTAAATTAATAAAAGCATTACCATTACAATGTTATTTTAAAATTTAATCACACTAAATAATATTAATATTCATCATGTCATCTCTGGTTCGACCTTATTAAGAGAATTAACTTTGAAAGTCTTCTTCTTTAAGGCTCAACGCCTAATCCAATTTTCATAACCTTACTTCATACAATTAAGAAAATTTTGAATAAATATAAGAAGATTTTGTTTTTACAATATTTACTAAAATCAATTAAGAATCATTACAGTAATTTAGTATTTTGGGCTTCTCCATGATGTTGAAATTGTGCCTTCTAATTGCCTACTGCTAAGGTCTCTCTCTCTCTCTCTCTCTCTTTATATATATCTCTTTTTCTTCAGTATTTTTATTTATACAAAATCCAATTTTTCTGGTGCACATAATTTACAGTTATACCCACGACCTATTTTGGGCTTGAGCTGTTAGATGTGCAAATACACAAGAACTATGTGGTATGCAAGTAACTTTCCCTATTTTTAAAGTGTATCACGTTGCCTTTTGCTTTCCCACCCTATATAATCTCCATTTTTTTCATGTTTTCCTTAATAGCAGTAGCTTTCCACATCTGTTAATATGCAGCTTTTCACCACAACATAACCTAACATCTTTCATTTCTCATCACTGCTGATATAAATATATAATAACTCAAGCTTCAACCTTCTCTTTCCTTAAACTCTTCACATATGGAGGACCCAAACCTCTCCTTCAGCAAGTCTATTTGCTCTAAAGATCCCGTTTCTCCTTCTGAGGAAAGTGGATGGACATCTTACTTTGATGAGTTCTTCGCTTCCGAGAAGAGAAAAACAGCAGAAAAGTCAGGAACCAATTTTTGTGATAGCTCTTCTTTGGTTTCTGATGCTTCATGGAAACCTCAGGTTTCTTCCCCGCCATTGATGAAGAAGAAGAAGAAGAATAAGACGAGGATAGTCTTTGAGGATGATGCTTTGGAAGATACTGCAACTTCTACAGTTAATAGCCCAAAGGTTAGAAGAATTTAGTTCCTTTCATGCTGTCTTAGTTTAAGAAGGACTAATGATATTAACACATATATGGCAGCCGTGTAGATATTTGTTTTGATTGGAAAAATAATAATATTAGGAGCTCTTGATGAAAATTATTTTGTTAATTAAGTGCTAATTGCTTTATTATTAATAAAATCCTATGATTAATCATATTTATTATAAAACTTATGATTGAATTTCCACTGGCTAGGAGTTTCTTACATAGTTTTTTTTTAATATAAACTGCTTCCTCCCTTTCTCTCTCTCTCTCTTCATCATGGTAAGAATATAATGAATCAAATATTAATTAATATCCTTACTATAATAGTAATAATCTTAAGAATTTGATCAATGTACATAATTTTTTTATTAATTAATTGAACAAGTAAAATAATTATTTAAATAATATTCAATGTATTTATTTTTGGATTTTATTTCTTATAGGAGAAGATGGCTGAAGACGGACAAGGCAAAGATCTGGAGAAGAGAAGAATTGAGGAAATGAGTCATGTTGGAGGAGTTTCTGAGATGTCAAAACAAAGGAAAAAAGGGCTTTGTTTGGGTCCCTTTTCTATGTTCATTAATAATCTTTGATAAATATGGTGTTTCCATAAAATAGTGAGAAAAATTCTCACCAACTATTTTCTAGTATATGTGTGCTCCTTTTTTATGTTATTTAGTTGGCTAATGAGCCTATTATCAATATATAAGATTTAATTAAAAAAAAATTGTCTTGGGAAGTGTTTATAGAGAGAAGTCTACTCTTAATAAAAGAAAATTAGTGGAAGATAATGAAATATTAATGCAATTATCAGCTATTATCAAATGATTTCAGACTTTTTGTGATTAAATAATATTAAGGGCGATGGACTTGAAACTCATGAGTGCTATTTATTATTGTAATAAAGATATTTAAGAAAGTACAATAAGAAAATTGGGAAAAATGTTTTTTTTTTAATATTTGGTTTCATATCAAATAAGTCTATTTGTTTTATGTAAAGTTCAAACTAGTTTTCAACTCACATATTTACATGTATGAGTGAAGACAATGATTTGATATTCTTGCACATGCAAAAATTGCTAGTAAACCTAATATCTTCTATATATTATTTGTTAAATAGGGGTTTAGAAAATATAATTAGAGAAAAACACAAAATAAAAATAGAAGAATAAAAAAATTATAAAAAAAATAAAATATTGCCAAACATACAAGTTGAATTGGACTATTGGCAATATTTTTTTAAAAATTCAAACCAATTAAGCTTTATTAATTTTGCAATGGCCTCACTCAAGAATGATATGCATTTTAGTCCATTCAATTTAAAGTATTTTTTTCTTGCTTGAATATTACAAATTTTAAAACCTATTATTTTATTTTATTTATTTATTTTGTATGTAAGAAACTATTATATTGAAAAAATCTTGGAGTTTAAAATTAATATGAGTTGTAATGACTTTCAATTAACTAATGAAATTTAACGAAATTTTTAGATTTATTGTTTTCTAAAAACAGTAATAATTTTGCTTATGCATAATATTTTAGTTGAGTTTTGAATAAAGTAGAACCCGAATTCAATTAAATTAATTTTTCTTATTTTATAAGTCTCAATGCAATAAATAAGTTTTATTTTCAAGCCTTAGAATCAGGTCAAATATCGATGAATTAAAAATTAAATCATCTTCTCATCTCTTATCATTTTAATTTTTTTAGCTTTTTTTTACCTCCTAATGCTCAACTCAAATGGTAAGTGTAAACATGGATAATATGAAAACAACATAAACTTAGTTTTATTAAATTTATATTGAATAATTTCCCAACGTTGTACCATAAAATTTCAATATTTATGGAGGAAACATGAGAAATATATATATTTTTTTGTAAAATACACATATTCTTGGTCTATCATGTTTCTCATTTCAGTCTTCAACATTGATTTATGAGATTGTGGGATGAATGATTAGTGTGGATGGCCTAGAAAAAGTGGAAGACTAAACCCAATTTTTCTATATTAATGAGTCTTTTGTATCTATGAACATGAAGCCCTTGGTTTTTGTGAGCTTTGTCTATATTTGGATGTCTTCTTCTCCCCTTTGACATCATCCCTAATGAAGGATTTTATAGCTTTCTAACAGCAAATGAAAGTTAAATTATCATAGCTACTTATCTTTTTTATATGGTTGTCCTTAACAACCTTCAACTATTTATTTAATTAAAAGTAAAATTTTCTCTATCAACACTTCACAAGACAATAATTCCTAATTAAATCTTTTATATCTATAAATTTGAACCATTAGCGAATCAACAAATTAAAAAGAGTACATATATAGTGGAAAATAGTTAGTGAGAACTCTTCTCAATATTATATGGAAACAACATATTTATCAAGAATTATTAACAAACATAGAAAAAGGAACCAAGCCAAGCCCTTTCTTCCTAAGCTTCAATATCTTGGTAACTCTTCCAACATTACTCATTTCCTTAACTTTTCTATTATCCTAATCTTTTCCTTCTTCGTCCTCAACCATCTTCTTCTATAAAAAATAAGAAAATTGAGAATTTTTTTAAAATTTTATTTCACATCAAATAACCCGATTTGTTTTATGTAAAGATCAAATTAATTTTCAACCTGTATTTTTACATATATGAGTGAAGACAAATATTTGATATGCCTACACATGCAAAAATATATGAGAAAAACTAATATCTTCCAAATATTAATTATTAATTGGGTTTTTAGAACTTGTAATGTGAAGAAACAAAAAATAAATTAGATATTAAAAAATCTGAAAAATAAAACAATACCAAACATGAAAGTTGAATTGGACTCTTATCAATGTTGTTAAAAAATTTCAAACCAATTAAGCTATATTTTACAATGGCCTTATTGAAAAATAATAGATATTTTGATGAATTAAATCATTGCTTGAATATTTAATAAGTTTTAAAATTTTTATTTTATTTTATCTTTTTATTTTGCAAGCAAGAGACTGCAATATTGATGTGATCTTTTAGTTTAAAATTAATTTGAAGTTTTAATGACATTCAATTAATTAATGAAATCTAACTGAAATTTTAGATTTATTTTATCTTATAAAAAGAGCAATAATTTTTCTTATGCATAATATTTCAGTTGAATTTTGAATTAAATAGGATTAGATTCGAATTCCAAGAGATTTGATTTTACTTATTTTGTAATTCTCAATACTATAAATAAGCTATAGATTCATGGCTTTTAATCAAATCAAATTTTGATGAGTTAAAATTAAATCATCTTCTCTTCTCCTATCAATTTAATTTAATTTCTTGAGTTTTTCTTCTCTCCTAAAACTCGATTCAAGCTACAAGAAAATTTTCAGATCAAGTGAAAAGATGAGATAAAATGAAATCTTAATAAAATCATATATATTAGATTTATATTGCATATCGTTCCAAAGAAGTGTTATAAAATTAAAAAAATTATAGAGGGAACATGAGAGATTCAAAAGTTTTGTAAAAAACACAATTTCAACTTCAGTGATATCGATTGGCCTGTCATGTTTTCTCATTTCAGTCTTCAACACTGCTTGATGAGATTGTGGGATGAGTCATTAGTGTGGATGGCTTGGAAAAGATGAATACTAAAATCAAAATTTTTTACATCAATGAATCTTTTTATGGGATCTATAAACATGAAGGAAGCCCTTGGTTTTTTGTGAGCTTTATCTATATTTAGATGTCTTCTTCTCCCTCTTGAAGTCATCCACAATCAATTCTTCCATAGCTTTTTAACAACGAGGCCAAGCTATATAACTACTTAAATTAATATCATAACTAATAATCTTACTTCTTGGATGTCCTTAACAAAAAAAAAAATTAAATTAAAGATATATTTCAACATAAGATTGTAATGATTTGGGAAACTAAAAAGTTATCATAACCGATGGTGCAACTAAAATAGTTTTAATTTTGAGTATTAATGAGCATTGCATTATCAACCATATTGGAGTGGTACATTTTTGTAAAAAATTTTTAATAGGTAAGACATGAATCACAAGTCATATGATCTTTAAAATAAAAATCAATTATTCGTTTAATATTAATAATAGAAGCATAAATATCTAAAATCTTACCACCATCATTCATAGAATTTAACATTGTCTAGGGCTTCTAGCAACATCATCCTCCATCTTTGCTTCAACAATGATCACAATCGAGATCTTCATGGATAACTTCTTCCCCAAATCATAATTATGATCCCATCATTTTAAATATGTTGTAAGCTTAAACTGATGATGTTGCTTCTTACAATGTTTAGAGTAGATGCCTTCTGATTCAAGAAGAAATTTATAATACATCACTTCTATCATAGAAAGTTTTTGAAAGAGCACTCCATATTTCAACTTCACAACTTTTTAACTAATCATTTCAACAAAGCTAGTGGCCTTGTCTTTACGCTAGAGATCATTAATTTGATTCTGATCACTGCATTAAAAATGCCCTTTGCTAAACAATAAAGGGAACTGTGGGCTTTATAGTTTAATCATCGAAATAAACATGTAACATAAATAGAATACTGAATCAATAGAACAATCAGAGAGTTAATTGCCTTGAAGGTAACTATAAATGAAATATATAGCTACGACTCCTCTCTCTCTGTCTCTAGATATCATTGCAGATCATTAAGTTATCTGTGAGTAACCGAGCATAAAGGGAAGAAGTCCCCTCCATGTGCAGGAGAAAAGAGGGAAATGAGTACCGAGTTACTTAGGTGTCCCCAGCAGCTAATTACTGAGGTATTCCTAGCTTCCTTTTTTTTTTTTTTTTTTTTTTTTTTTTTTTTTATTTAATTTTAATTATAGATAAGAACATAACTATAATTTAATACTTGGAATATTAGCTAATGTGACTACTTATCATTGGCTTATTTAATCTTAAAAGATAATCATTTGCATGCGCCAGTCAGAAGTGCATGACAAGTGGATCCCACTTGCATTGAGGGAGCCAGGTAATTTCTCGAGTAATAAAAATTTCGAGTCCGATTTTACCGTTTTGAATAGTTTCCTAAAAAAAAAATAAAAAAATAAATAAATACTATTGTTTTTTTTATATATTTATTAAAACTATAAATCTAATTATTCAAAATTATACACGAATATTGGCTATTCTCTACCGAAATTTAGTTTAAACCGTAAGTTATATGTTTACCAACGGCTTTGCATCGACAAAGTTGGTGTAGGAAAAATGATTGTAGGTAATTCAATTACCGGTGGATTTAACGATGATTTATATTAACTGAAAGTTAACCGACGCGTCATAACCGTCGCTATTGATCTAAAAAATATTATGTTTAACCGTAGCTTAACTGCCAATTATATAACCGACGAAACCGTCTGTATGCAGAGACGGAACTAGTCTTTTTTTTTAAAGAGGGCCAACAATCCCCCTAGACCCAACGTGGAGATGCTATGGTAACGAAAGACACAATGATGTTTAAGAAGTGCAAAACTGATATTTCAGAAGGGGCAAAAAACCGAATTGTACTTCCATATAACTAAAAATCTGATTTTGAGGGGCTCTTGACCCTTCTTGGGTCCACCCCTATCCATAGGAAAAGTGAGTGCTGTAATTTCACCAGAAAAAGTGTCGCGGCTTTGTCGGTAAACTATTACCAAA